TGCGCTTCTCCGTGCAAGATAGGCTCTTGTGCGGAGAAAACTGGGCTCCGTCTTTCGGAAAGAAACGTTAAACCGTTGGTCCAAAGAGTTAAAGTGAGAGGAGAAAGATAGTTTTGGTAGTAGATTGCGAACCCTGCGGGGATATGCAATAAATGACAAACTTTACAGGAATATAAGATTTGTTTCTTTGTTATTAATTAACTTGTCTTTGCCTTTCTTAATGAGGAGTATCTAGTTTTTTTTGGGATCTTATATAAAACATCAGACTCTGACGTGCGACGGACATCCTCATTAGGGCCTCTAATATATGGAATAGCTACACATTTTCGTGCATCAAAGTTTATTTTTTTACTTGCATTTTGTTTCTATTTTTAATTTGTACGAATTTTATATCTACGTAGATTTTTACTTGAAAAAGACTTAAACCAAGGGTTGAAACGTTGTGAATTGTTTCTTTCTATTGCCAATTAATCGAATAAATAAAATACTTTGGTTTATAATTACTGGCGGACAAATTTATTTTTTTTTACAAACTTATTGGTTGGCGCTCGCTTGTATATAATTGTAATATAGTGGTTTATCGCATGTATATAATATTGATATGGTTGTTGATTCGCGTATATTCATTGTATATTAGTCATTAAGCTCCTGAGCGTTAGAGTTACCGTCGGTAATTGCGATATCGTGAATTGGGACTCGCGCGAAGCGTTAGCGGACCGCGACAAGTGTCAATATTCGCGCGACTCACCCGACTCGTGCTGCCCGCCCGCGGGTGGCAGGCCCAATTATTGGGACACTAGTACTTGCTCGCGCCGTACTTCCAGGAGCGCGAGCCGGAGAGAGAGAGTGCCGGAGCAATTACTCCGGTAAGAATCGCCGACACGACAACACCGAGCTTCATGTTCACCAACGAGTACTCGTCGCGAGAACGTCGTGTGCCTGCTTGCTTGTCTTTGACTGTTGCTTGTGACACTCTTGCCTGCCTGACTGCTTGCTTGCGCTACCTTGCCTGCCTGCACTCCTCCCGCTAGCACGGAGGCTATCGTCAGCCGAGAGGACGAACCAGATCAACCGATCGAGCATCCCAAAAGGGCACCGGGCTGCGATACGGTGAGTCGCTTCGCATGATTAACTCGCTTTATTTGCCTAACTCGCACCTATCGAAATCGTGAGGGGATTGCCCTCTGGTCCTTTGAACCACCCTCGTACAGGCCAATCGCGAATCCGGGGAGCGATAAATACCCCCCCGAGCACTTAAATTTTTTAAACATTTTGTTAATAACTTTTTAATAAATAACAAACGACGGCTAAAACTTTTAGAAGGTTACTCAAGAGAGTGCTCTTTATAATATATGTCAAGGTCAAGATCGCAGAAGGTTGCTTGCCTAAACTAAATAATTACCAAACACCATTCTTTTTACTATTTTATCTTAAAAAATGCTTTTTTATAGGAGTTGCCAAAATTCGGTTTAAGGGTTTTTATTTTAACCCAAAATGAAGCTTTTTACAAAGTTTTATCGAAATTGGAGGTAGACCGTTTTCGGAACCTTATCTTTAGAGTTTTATATCTTTAACTTTAAATATCTCAGAAACTATAGGAAACCGCCACATAGTTGTTAAAGCAAAGTTACTCAGGCATGAACTCTTTATAACATATGTCAAGGTCAATGTCCGAGCTGTGTAAGTTTTTTTAAAGAATTACTGCAAGTAGCCAAGCTTATAAAAACACAATATAAAGACAAAAAACTAAAATTTTATGCTGACTGATTTGTTGATCCCTGATTGAGGATGATGATGCTGAACTGCCTTGAGCTAAGAAAGAAAAAATAATTTTTAACTATTCTTTTTCAATTTTTTTGCAAAAAGAATTGATTTTATTTTTTGCTAAAATTGCATAAAAGGTTACACCTCATCACCGATTTTATCGCCAGTTAAATATGTTGTAGGGGAGGTTTTTCTGATTGTGAGTAATTCTACGCAAGAAAAAAGTGGAGGACGGTATTAGTTTAAAAGATACAACAAATTGAAGTTTGACATTAAAGTTTGTATATGCTGTAATAATGTTATTTTTTCAGTACTAAAGGAATAATTTCCTGATATATGTGTAGACAGTACATGTGTGTTCGGGGGAGGGGCGGTAACCCCGCAAGCAGGGGTGGGTGGGGATGGATCTCGGTTCGTGTGAAAAGTCATGGATATTTTGTCAACGATCGAATTGATCGATTTTGCACAATTTGTTAGAAGATTTTACCATGCAATTACACCAATTTCTCAACCTCGTTAACGGTAACAATAAGTCGGTCAATTCGATTGCTGACAAAATACCCAGGATTTTTCACGCGAACCGACGTCTACTCTTACCCACCCCTGCTTGCGGGAAAGGGGCAGTAGCACATATTAGCAAATTACTTCTCTTAGAACTAATGTGATTTTATAATACCTAAAAAAAGTATTAAAATTGTGAAACTTCAATTTGCTATTTTTTTTAAACCAATGCCGTTCTCCATTTTTTTCTTGCGTGGAATTACTCTGAAAGACCCCCCTCCTACAACATATTTAAGTGGCGATAAAATTGGTGTAACCTTTAATACATATTTACCCATTTTTCATTACTTTTAAATAAAAATGTTCACAACCGTTAAATTTCCATGGTAAAAATACACATTAAGTTAGCCACCTTCGATGACTTTGACTTTGACATATATTATAGAAGTCACCCTCCTGAGTAACCTTCAGAAGGTCTTAGTCGTCACTCGTTGCTTATTTAAAAGTTATGAACAAAAAAGTTTGAGAAATTTACAAGTTTGTGTCAGTGCTAAGGAAGTAATTTGTTGATATATGTGCATAAACAGTACACATGTAGACAGAGATGGGTAGGGATGGACTTCGCTTTGCGTGGATGGTTCTCTGGACAGCATTGTACTTTCCAAGCAAAGGAAGATCCACCCCACCCCTCCTTGTAGAGCGAAACAAGGTATATCATTGTACGGTTCGAATTTTTAACTTTCTACGCGAACCGATGTCCATCTCCACCCACCCCCGTCTAAATGTATATTGTCTATATACACATATCAGCTTTACTTTAATTACTTCTTTTAGCACTGAAAAAAGTAACACATTACAGTATATACTGGCACAATTTTTTTCGGATAATGGCAGAAATGTATCCATTACATGACAATATTGTGTCTGATACAGCAATTACAGAAACAGAAGAAATGTATAATTTAATCTTTTTGTTATTTTTCAATAAAAAATTAAGGTCCACTTCCACCCACCCCCGCTTATAAGTGTACTGTCTATACACTGTGCTATCTTTGGATAGCATTGTACTTTCCACGCAAAGTGAGATCCACCTTACTCTACCTCATCCTTACTTATGGAGCGAAACGAAGTCTATCATTGTATGGTTTGATTTTCAACTTTCCACGTTAACCGAGGTCCACCTCTACCCACCTCTGCTTGTGGGGGAGGGGCGGTAGCCCCTCCCCCGCCTACATGTGTATATATTGTTTATGCACACAAATCAGCAAATTACTTTTCTTAGCACTGACACAAACTTATAAATTTCTCAAACTTTTTTGTTCATAACATTTAAATAAGCAACGAGTGATGGCTAAGATCTTCTGAAGGTCATTCAGGAGAGTGACTTTTGTATGTCAAAGTCATCGGACATGACTAACTTAATGTGTATTTTTACTTTCGTGTGACCAATCTTTAAATTTGAAAAAAAAAAAAAAATTTCAATGTAATGGAAATAAATAATTGGAATACTGGTATGCTAAAAAGACACCTACTTATCATAATCCACTAATGGAAATTAATAATTATTGAAAAAGTTTGATTTTGTTGTGTGTTATTAAAAAAGAAAAAGAATTATACTTATTATATTTTTTACCTTTAAAAAATATTTCTTTATTAACTTCGCGTAATGACTCTAAAAATCAGAAACGTAAATCAAGAATAAATTAATAATTTATAAACTTACCACATTCCACTTTTATTTTTATATTTTAATCTTATTTTTTATTAGTAAGTAACAAAATTATAATTATGAAAAAAAAGGTTAAAAATCCCTTTGAACTTTCCTCTAATCAACCTCGTTCGTCACATTGTCGTTTGACACACTGCCGCAAAATTGCGCAAAACTCACCGCAGTCTCGATCGCCAGTATCGACCATCAATTAAACACGCGGAAAAGTGTACACGCAACAGTACGCGCAATATATTCAACTTCAAAAATGCCCACTTTTCGGTCAAAATGGATTTTCGGTAAATATACCGAATAGAAGACCCACCTCCGATGACCTTGACCTTGACATATATTATAAAAGTCACCCTTCTGAATGACTTTCAGAGAATCTTAGCCGTCGCTCGTTGCTTATTTAAAAGTTATGAACAAAAAAGTTTGTGTCAGTGCTAAGAGAAGTAATTTGCTGATATATGTGTATAGACAGTACACATGTAGGCGGGGAAGGGACTACTGCCTCTCTCCCGCAGGCAGGGATTGGTAAGGGTGGACGTTGGTTCGCGTGAAAAATTGAAAACCTTAATCGTACAATGATAGATCTCGTTTCGCCTTATAAGCAGGGGTGGGGTGGAATGAATCTCACTTTGTGTGGAAAGTACAATGCTGTCCAGAAAACCATCTATGCAAAGCAAGGTGCACTTCATTCTTCCTCACCCCTGCTTACAGGGCAAAACAAGGTCTATCAATGTACAGTTTGAGTTTTCAACTTTTCACGCAAAGCGAGATCCACCCTTACCCACCCTGCCTACAGGAGAGGCAGCCCCTCTCCCGCCTAAACTTTTTTATTCATAACTTTTAAATAAGCAATGAACGACGATTAAGTTATAAGAAAAAGTTACTCAAGGTCATGTCTTTGACAACATATGTCAAGGTTAAAATCAACGGAGGTGGGTCCCCTATTCGATATATTTACCGGATTTTTTTTATTAGGGACTCATTGTAAAAGTAAATAATTAATGAATTCTTTTACCTTAACAACCATTGACTCCATCTAATTGGCTGTGCCCGTTGCATGTGTGTATATCCAGGCATAAGTACGTCTATATCTTGTTCCGCTTGAATTACGAGGACCTAATTTTTTTTAAATTAGCACATTAGTATTTAGCGTATTTTTGTAAATTAGTAGATTATTTTAAAATAATTGCAAAGCTGAATTATATTTAAAAAATTATTTCAATTTTTATTTTTAAAACAATTATGTAATTTATTTTTATAAGCAAAATGTAAATACTAAAAAATTTTATTTTAATAAAACAATTTTAGCAATTATAATGTTTCTACTATAATGTTTCAAATTATAGAAATGTTAAATTTTTAACATAAGTCATTTTTTACATAAATAATAAAAATAATAGTAAAATAAAATATTAGTATAAATTATTAAACATTTTGTAATGTTAGAATATCTTTCATTAGTATTGGATCACAAAAACGAAGTTATTTAGTCTATTATTATACTAAAAGATTTAGTTTTATACAGGGTGTCTCGAAGCATTCTTGAGGAGGTAGAAGGGATCGAGATAAACAAAAAAGGCCTCTATTATTTTGCGATATTCGCAATAGTTGAGTTATTAATTAATACGTCTGAGCGAATCGGCGTATAAGAAGTAGGCCGGATTTGGCATGTAAAATGGTGTGCAAATGCGGCGATTGGCGAGGGGCGTAATCACGTGTCGCACACTGCAAACCGTGGAAAGGGATAGCGGGCTACTGCCCGTGTTTATGTCACTACTCCCATGTCTCGCCCCATGCCAAGGTTCGCTCTCTCGCACCTTCTCGCTCTCTCACGCTCTCTCACGCTCTCACGTTTTTTCTCGCTCTCTTACGCTCTCTTTTGCTCTCTCACTCTCTTTCGACAATAAGAAAAATAAACGAATGTGATGCTATAAATAGTAAATTTACGAAAGGGAACGATCAAGAATCAATTATGAATTTACGCTAGTCTTTCGTCAATGTAAGATTCACGACTACGGTACGACACGATAAGAAATAAAATTAAATGAAAATTGTGGATGCTGATAATAAGATATTTATGAGAAAGAAATATAAAAAATTTATCGTATGAATTTACTTATAAGCTTTCGTTAATTTACTATTCACAATTACTATAGAAAACAGTGCAATTGTCTTTTATCGGGTTTTTTGTCTTTCGTCAGGGTTGCGATCAATGTTCATACAAGAATATTCGAAAACTCATATCAAGGAATGTAAAATCTTTAGTATAAAATAATAAGCGTTTCCCGTAAGATATCTGATGTCGATACATGACGTAACGATTACAACATGTAATCGTGTTCTGCTTGAGATGGTTTTACTCATATTTAATATATATATATATATATATATATATATATATATATATGTTACGGGAAATTTGATTATATCGGGAATTATGCATAATGGCCGGGCAATATGCATAATTCCCACTTCTTTTGGGATATTTGAATAATAAAAGCAAAAATGTTCAAATTAATCAAATTTCCCGGTCATTATACATATTTCACAATGTTAAATGATCATTTTGAAAAATCACCTTATTTGAGTTGATTTTCCCGGCAATCTTAAGCCCCTTGCACAATAGGCGATAGCGATGCAAAGTGCTACATGGATTTACAACTTTCCACGCGTGGAAAGTCCACGCATGTACTTTGAAGGCACACTATGTGTCTAGTTTAATAATAGTGGAGCCCCCCGCAGGGGGGTGGAACCTACTGCCTCCACGCATACACTTTTCACGCGAGACGAGTTGTCACATGGGTTTACAACTTTCCACGCGTGAAAAATGTATGCGTGGAGGCAGTAAGTTCTGCCCACCTGCGGGGGGCTCCAGTATTATTAAACTAGACACATAGTGTGCCTCAAAGTACATGCGCGGGCTTTCCACGCGTGGAAAGTTGTAAACCCATGTGGCACCTCGTTTCGCGTGGAAAGTATATACGTGGAGGCAGTAGGCAGGGCCGGTAAACTCCCATTGTTCTCGCGTTGCCAGTGTTTGTAGCGCCTCTACAAATCTTGCCCCACCTTTGAGGAACTAAAATTCAATATGGCTGTCGAACCGTTCGATTTAAATCCATAATAGCTGATTTTTTCATATTATAATTATTGCTATTTATAAAAATTATGACAGAAAAATGGCTAGGAAGCAAAAATTAAGCTACACTGCTATTGTTACAATTTAATTATTACAAGTTTTATTATAAATATTTCGAAATAGGAAAAATATATAAAATTATAAAATAGATATAGAATGTGTACATGTGTGTATGTGTTTATATGTATGTACGGTGTATATGTGTGTATATGTATGTGTGTGTGTATAAACATATTTTAATTTAGATGCGTATACCTGGATAAAGTACCTGCAAAAAAAAAACATAATTGTTTTAATAAATAACTCATTCTATTCCCTTATTTGCAAGTGTAAACATAATACTTTCCCTTCTTACCTTTCTTAACATATCTCATTGCCAATGATTTAGCTTGATTATACATATAATTTGGCTGGAATTCAGCTAATATTTTTTTATTTAATATTTTATTTAAAAAATTGCACCCCTGTTGGATAAATTTCATTGCAACCATATCCAACAACTCCTTCAAAGCAGACTTACAGTGCATTGTTAAATAATTTGTCTCCGTCGCCATGCTATTTAAAACTTGTTCTTTTAATTTGATATTGTGGCAAAAGTTTGGAAATTGCACTTCAGTTATATATATCGCTTGTTGTAATATATTTGTTATTTGTTCATTTTCTAATTTTTTTGCACAATCACTGCATATAGGTATCCATTTTTTACGCATAAAACTCAATATTTTGTGCACATTCACAAAAACATTTCTTGCTTCTACTATTGGTACAGCAGCTTCAACACAATCTATGTTGGTGTCATTATTTTCCATGCGTGCAATTTCTGCTGCGCGAAACATAGTCATTAATGCTAAGGAACTATCCGTTTCATTTTCTTCACAATTAGAAGAGACGGAATGCTTGGACGTAATATTAGCAGTAATTAGTGTTTTAAATGCCGTTCCAAATTGGTAAGGAGTTGGGTTGACATTCCTACGTCCTACGTCTTTTATTTGGCCGAAAAAATTTTCTAGTACGTCTTGATTTATATATTTTAAATTAAGATGTGTAAATCCACTTCTTTGGAGAACATCCCATAGACGTGCAGCACCTCGGATCGTCCACATCCAATTTTTTAAGCACTTTGGTGCATTTCTTCTTATTGGTTTTAGTGTTGTTTTTTCAACAAATTGCATATTATCCAACGTAAATAATGCCTTTTGCCAAAAACGTTTATGCGTGCTTTGTGGACTAATTATACTACTAAGGCCTTGTCCTTGTTTGCCATTAAAGGAATCGAATAATTTATCAAAGAATAATAGCGTTCTTGATGTAGCAGCGGCGCTTTCTGGCAACTGTATCGTGCCTTTTATAGTTTCAACAACACCTGCAATATAAATAAATAATGCGTAAAGTCAGAATATTTTTTTGCTTCTACAGTGCATGCAAATTAAAATTTTCCAGCATTTTTTTGATAAATGACCATTATTATTTACCTTGTTTATAAGATACGACTATAGCCATGTAATGAGCCACAGTATGGCTTAACACTTAGACAGCATATCTTACTCTCATCTTTGGAATCAAAGCTGGATAGATATGCTTATCCACTAATTTAGGCATCATCCGTTGTTGAATATCTGAATATTTGTTCAGTTTATCGATAGTATACAAACGTTCGATAGCATCTCATGTGGCGTATGGACATTTCAAATCTGTTGATACATTTTTGTTAAGCATTAAATGTTTAGTTAGTAAGTTATTCCGCACGCCTTTTTGCAAATGAACATAATCAAAGAGTGGTATAATTTTGTGATTTTTAAGAAAAATGGTGTTATCTTTTATATGTCCTTGTGGTTCTGAAAAAAATTTAATGCATGTTTAGTACTTATACAATACAGGTACACACATAAATACATATATCAATACATATGTAAATTACTCACCATTACCATGTAGTGCAGGTCGCGTTTGTTGTATCAATAAATTGATCGCTGCAATATTAGTTCCCCCTTGATCGCAAACGCTTGCAACTGGTTTGAAACCACACTTTATAAGTGCTAGCAACCATTTTTTGATGCATCTGGCTAATTGAATTGAATTTGTTGCACTATGACTGTATCCGTAGCCAATTGGCATGTGCTTTCCAGAGGCGAGACATCTTATATAAAAAACAATCGCATGATCTGCTATCTTTCTAGTTCGTTTTGTACCCCAATCTTCCAAGCCAATTATCTTATCATTTTTTGGATCATATTGGACAGCAGGTTGTATAGACATTTCGTCCCAAATAAGCACCACATATAAATCTTTAGGATCAATCTCTTTCTTAATTAAACATAAATATTGTAGAATACTTTTATTACACCCAGTATCAATAGGAATATTTCGTAATTGTTTCTTTAAAGTGACATGAGAAGGAAAGTGTAGATATTTAGAAAGAAAATTATATGATGTACGACATCTTTTAAAGAGACTTAAGCAAAACATTTTCTCTTCAAGAGTGTAACGTCTAGCCTGTTGAAAATAAAGACATAATATAACATAATAAACATATATAAGAAAATAATCGTAAGCCAATATTTATAGTCTGTTCTTATTTCAAGACCGTCTTAAAATTGTACTCAAGACGGTCTTATATATAAGAACCGATTATATAAATATCATCCATAGAATGCAATAATACAAAATATATGCATCAAAATTTTAATTTTATGTTTAATTTTATATATACAATTTTTAATAATTTTTAAATAAAATAAATACAATTGCAAACAATATTATCAAATAGCATGAAAAAAGAGAAAAAAGAAAGAAAAAGAAAGAAAAAATAACTAAAACAATAGAAAAAATATTGTTAATAAATTTGCAAACATGATTGAAGAATGATATAGATGAAGGATATACAATATTGATCAAGATATTAATGTACCTGAGGTGCCACTTTATCATGTCTTATTATTAGATCAAGTATTTGTTGTCGTATTAAAGAAGTTTTATCCTTTCTGCCTCTATGATCTGTAGTGCTAAGTATTATTCTGTTAGATGTACGTTTTTGTTTCATTTTCCGAATCTTTTGCTTTAATCGTCTTTGATCTTTTTGTAATTTTATTACTTTCTGATAAAACAATCGGGCTTGTGGATTTAATTTACTTTGTCTTGTAATTTTCAAAAGATTAGGTCTTCTTCTTGCAGATAAAGTATGTTTATTGTCTTTATTTAATTGCTTTTCTATTTCCTCTTGCTTTTGAGACAATACTTCTATTTCCTCTTGTTGTTGGTAATGCAACATTTCCATTCTCTCTTGAATTTCTTCTTGCTTTTGAAACAACATTTCCATTCTCTTTTCTCGCTCGTGATACAACATGTTCATTCTTTTTTTAATTTCTACTTGCTCTTGGGACATCATTTCCATTCTCTCTTCTTGCTCGTGATGCAACATTTCCATTCTCTGTTGAATTTTGTCTTGCTCTTGGGACACCATTTCTATTCTCTTTTCTTGCTCGTGATGCAACATTTCCATTCTCTCTTGAATTTTTTCTTGCTCTTTGGACAACATTTTCATTCTCTCTTCTTGCTCGTGATGCAACATTTCCATTTTATCTTGAATTTTTTCTTGCTCTTGGGACACTATTTCCATTCTCTCTTCGTGCTCGTGATGTAACATTTCCATTCTATCTTGAATTTTTTCTTGCTCTTGGGACACAATTTCCATTCTTTCTTCGTGCTCGTGATGTAACATTTCCATCCTCTCTTGAACTTCTTCTCGCTTTTGAGACAGCATTTCTATTCTCTCTTTTTGCTGTTGGTGCAATACTTTCATTTCCTGTTGTTGCTGATGGTACAACACTTCCATTCTCTCTTGTTGCTGATGCAGCACTTCCATTCTCTCTTGAATTTCTTCTCTATTTTGAGATATTGTCATTTCTGTCTGTTGCTGGAATACTTCTTCTTGCTGGAGTTGTGTACCCGCCTCTTCTGAGCATGCTAATTCCATGCATGGGACAGCAGTATTTAATAATCTTCGATATCTTGGACTGCAAGAGTAATCATTCTCACGAAAATGTTTATGACACACTCGTAACTGTTTTATAACGTCTTCATCTGTAATATTAAGCTTCAAAATCTGTAACCATCGTTTGCGGCGTTCTTTATTGGTAGGAATCCCATGTGACGGCACTATCTTGCCCGATTTGCATCCTTGTACACAGCACGATCTTGCCATATTTTTCTATTTCACACTACTTCTAATTACCTTTAGCAATGTTTAAAAAATATATTTAAACGTTCTACGTTTATGCAATGCACTACGACAGACCACGACAGACAATGTGAACTGAATGCGAACCACGTTGCTAAAAGTTCACGACAGCAGCCAACAGCAGCTGACCGCAGCTGACAACAATCGACAGCCATATTGAATTTTAGTTCTTCAAAGGTGGGGCAAGATTTGTAGAGGCGCTACAAACACTGGCAACGCGAGAACAATGGGAGTTTACCGGCCCTGGCAGTAGGTTTCGTCCTCCCCCTGCGGGGGGCTTCGCTATTATTTAAACTAGACACATAGTGTGCCTTCAAAGTACATGCGTGGACTTTCCACGCGTGGAAAGTTGTAAACCCATGTAGCACTTTGCATCGCTATCGCCTATTATGCAAGGGGCTTAAGATTGCCGGGAAAATCAACTCAAATAAGGTGATTTATCAAAATGACCATTTAGCATTGGGAAATATGCATAATGACCGGGAAATTTGATTAATTCTTCTCTATTAATCATTTTGACCGAACAAATTGGGAATTATGCATATTGCCCGGCCTTTATTCATAATTCCCAATTTATCATATTTCCCGTAACATATATATATATATATATATATATATATAAAATATATTGCTTTGAAAAATAATTGTTGCGCAACTACTTTTAAAAAATAAAACTCAAATGGTACGTATCTTTGTATTCCCATTCAATGTCTTCTCATTCCAACCCAAGCTTTAATTCTTTTTAACATAATTATAATATTACAAAGAATTATTTTAATCACAAAGAATTAAAGAGATAACGATACAAAATAAAAATATTTAATTAAAATAAAGTAAATAAATTTTTCTTGTAAAAAAACTTGGCGCTGCTTTTTTACTCCCGCTGCATATTTCCTTAAATTATGTTTTGCTTTCTTTTATTCAATCAAAAATTTTATACTTTATTAAATTCAATCAAAATTTCAAGGTCTAGCAGCGCCAAGTTTTTTACAAGAAAAATTTATTTATTTTTGTTAGAAAGTCAGATCTACGTGTGCTTGTGCCTTTAGGTCCTAGTTGCTATCGATATAGTTTAGTAACGCTAGACAGAGGACTAGTTCCTTTTTCGAGTTTACTTTCTAATAATGTACTGCTCTATGTCCTTCCTCCCTTTTTCCGATAGCTTCCGCGTGTCCACGCCAATTCTGTTCTAGCCAGTTCATTTTACTTTATATACATAACGCGGGCAGTGCCAAATAAATACTTTATACAAGTACTCTGCGATATTTTAGTTTCGCCCTATAACCAACTATTCCTAACAGGTTATGGGCCCAGAAGCGTTTCATTGACTGCGCGTGTTGATCAAAAGAAAACGACTTCTCAAAAATGGCGTCCGCGAGTGTTTTCTCGAACATTGAAAAATTAACGGAGAGTAACTACGAACTGTGGAAAGTACAAATGAAAAGTGTACTCGTGTATAACGATTTGTGGCAGTACGTTGACGGCACAGAGGTTAAGCCGCAAGAAAATGCACACGACTGGATAAGGAAGGACTCGAAGGCTCTAGCGCTAATTAATCTGAGCATTTCACACAGTCAGCTGAATTACGTAAAGAAGGCTGAGACCGCAAAAAGAGCCTGGGATTGTCTCAAGGGAATCTTCGAATCCAAAGGCCCAGTAAGAAAGGCCACATTATATAAGCAGTTGCTGAGGATGGAAAAGAAGCCGAATGTGACGATAACGCAACATGTGAATGATTTCACGACCAAGGCAGGGCAGCTGGAAGAGGCAGGCATTGAAATTCCAGACGAATTATTATCCATAATGCTGCTAAATTCTCTACCGGAAGAATACGAAAATTTCAGCGTAGCCATGGAATCACGTGACGACATACCAACGCTCGAAGTTCTCAAGGCAAAGCTCAAAGAAGAAGAAGCGAGACAGAACGACCGAGATGCGAAAACGACCGACGGTGATAAGAAGAGCGACGCATTGTTGGCAAGAGGGAGCACCAATCGTGGAAAGCAGTCGCGTGTGAACTCGCGTGTGAATCCGAAAGATGGCAACGCGAAAGTAAATACACAAAAATTCGACGGAAAATGTTATAACTGTGATAAATTCGGACACCGAAGTCGTGATTGCCGTGCAAAGCCAAAGCAAAATAAATCAAACAATACGGACAATGCTCTAACCGCGATCGCGTGTAATACAGAACTCACTACGAAATCGGGAGTGTGGTGCCTCGACAGCGGTGCGACCAGGCACATGTGTAATGACGAACAGAAATTCGAAACTATTAATAGAGACGACCAATCGAAAGCGTATACAGCAGGAGAACATTTCGTTAAGTCGGTCGGATCAGGTAATGTAAACTTACATTTAAGAGCAAATCGACGCGAGAATAATTCGGTAAAAATACAAGACGCGTTATACGTACCGGAGCTACGAAATAATTTATTATCGGTGCCGAGCATTACAGATAAAGGACATTCAGTAATATTTGAAAGAAATCGCGCGCTCATAAAACGGAAAGACGGTTCAACGATCCTGACAGCTACGAAACGGAATCAACTGTACGTCGTCGATGAGAAGATAGATCAAGCAATGTTGGCGAAAAATGAGCATGATAGAATAATAAGATGGCATCAAAGGTATGGACACGTAAACATCAATGATCTCAAGAAGATAAAAGCGGAAGGGATGGTGGATGGCATGAACTTTGTAACTAACCTAGATCAACTTAACTGTAAAGTATGCGCAAAATGTAAGGTACACACTCTGCCATTTAAAAGTTCCACATATCGCGATAAGGACGTGTTGGGATTAGTCCATTCGGATATATGCGGTCCGATAAATACCGAATCTCTTGGTGGTGCTAAATATTTTGTAACCTTTACAGACGATCGCACGCGTTATACCGAAACTGTGATGTTGCGTAAACGATCTGATGTTCTTGAAGCATTCAAAAACTACAAGCTGAAGGCCGAAAAGCAAACGGGTCAACAAATCAAGAAGTTACGAACGGACAACGGAAGGGAATATCTTTCGAACGAGTTCAAGAGTTTTCTGAAAAATGAAGGAATTACGCACCAGCTGAGCGTCGAATACACACCACAACAGAACGGAGTTGCGGAACGCAAGAACCGCACACTTGTTGAGATGGCGAGATGTATAATGTTACAAGGTAATCTCCCTCAATCACTATGGGCAGAAGCTGTCAATGCAGCAACGTATATTCGAAATAGATGTCCGACGAGGACATTGGATGGAAAAACGCCTTTTGAAGCATGGTCGAAACGCAAACCTTACGTTGGTTTCTTTAGAATTATTGGATCCAAAGTGATTGTACTGAATAAGGCGCAAAGAAGAGGAAAGTTTCAACCGAAAGGTGATGAATACGTCTTAGTCGGATATTCCGAAGAGTCTAAAGCATATCGACTTTGGAAACCCGGAACAAGAACCGTAATCAAGGCACGGGATGTAAGGTTCTTTGAGAAACAAGACTTAATCGACACATCAACGAAGGATCTTTTGGTTACGCCAGATGATACGGAAGCAAGTACGACTGATAATTCGAGTAACATTCTATTAAAACAATCAGATTCTCAAGATGAGGAATATCAAGAAGACGAAGAAGAGGACAGAGATTCAAACCCAGAAGAATCTACAACTGAAGTTAGGTTACAAGACACATCTAACGAAGATGGTGAAGTTCGTCGTGGAAGAGGACGTCCAAAATTACTGAAGACAGGTCAACCAGGTAGACCGAAGAAAATATATCAAACACAAAACACGAAGACTCCAGATCCTGAATCTGTTCCAGACGCATTAAGCCGTGATGACAATGAAGCATGACTGACCGCCATGGATAGTGAGTATAAAAGCTTAATAGAAAATAAGACTTGGATCTTGGTACCTAGGCCAAAGAATAAAAAAATCCTATCAAATCGTTGGGTATTTAAAACTAAATTTAACCAAAAAGGCGAAGTTGAAAAGTTTAAGGCCAGGTTGGTTGTACGAGGACATACACAGCGAGAAGGAGTGGACTACGAAGAAACATTCGCGCCGGTTTCGAGGTACGAAACCATCAGAACACTTCTTGCCGCATCTGTGGACGAGGAAATGCATGTCCATCAAATGGACGTTGTATCGGCTTATGTCCAGGGCGAGCTGTCAGACGAGGTGTATATGGAGCAACCCGAAATGTATGTACAAAAGGGCGAAGAATCGAAGGTCTGTAAGTTACTTAAACCTTTATATGGCTTAAAACAGTCGGGTCGAGAATGGTACAATACGTTTGATAAATATGTAACGAATAATGGAGGCAAACGTACAACGGCTGATCCATGCATGTATGTATTCGGTAAAGGAGATGATCGAGTCATTCTATTAAGTTACGTCGATGATATAATATTAGCTTCGAAGAAAATCAAAAGATTGGAGTTTGTGAAATCTAAATTGAAGTCAGCATTTAAAATGATGGATCTTGGACCGATACACGATATCCTCGGTATAAGTGTCGAACGACAAGGTTTAACCGGAAGTATTTATCTTTCTCAAAAGAAATATATTGAGGAACTGATAGCAAAATTTAATATGGAGGACGCAAAGACGGTATCGACGCCGATAGAGTCAAGCACAAGAATTACAAAGGAAATGAATCCGAGATCCAAAGAGGAACGAGAAGAAATGAAGAACCGACCATATAGGGAGCTAGTTGGCGGGCTGATTTATTTAGCAAACGCAACACGCCCAGATATAGCGTTTGCAGCTAGCACTTTGAGCCGATTTTGTACCGATCCAGGAGAACTACATTGGAGTTTGGCAAAGCGGGTATTGAGGTACCTGAAGGGAACGTCACACTATAGTATCAAGTACATTAAAGACCAAAACGCTCTCAAAGCCTATACTGATTCGGATTGGGCAGGAGATACTGATGACAGGAAGTCATGTACAGGAAATATCATCATACTAGCTAACGGTCCAGTTAGTTGGAAGTCGAAGAAACAGGCATCGGTGGCTCTTTCAACGATGGAGGCGGAGTATGCTGCGCTTGCCGAAATATCGCGTGAAGTAATATATGTAAAAAGACTCTTACCGTACATGGGTTTCGAGAAGTTTGTAAAAGACGCAATTAACGTATATTGTGATAATCAGAGTGCAATTGAGTTATCGAAAAATGCGGTATTTCATAAACGAAGCAAACATATAGATATTAGCTTTCATTTTACTAGAGAACTCGTAGAAAAGAAAGTGATAACGATTCAATATCTAAGAACAGAGTCAATGATTGCCGATATTTTAACCAAATCTTTATCGAAAGATAAACATTTCAAATGTATTTCTATGTTACAACTAGAATGAAAGTAGGAGATATGTAATTGCACAGCACACATCGATAGAGGGGGTGTTAGAAAGTCAGATCTACGTGTGCTTGTGCCTTTAGGTCCTAGTTACTATCGATATAGTTTAGTAACGCTAGACAGAGGACTAGTTCCTTTTTCGAGTTTACTTTCTAATAATGTACTGCTCTATGTCCTTCCTCCCTTTTTCCGATAACTTCCGCGTGTCCACGCCAATTCTGTTCTAGCCAGTTCATTTTACTTTATATACATAACGCGGGCAGTGTCAAATAAATACTTTATACAAGTACTCTGCGATATTTTAGTTTCGCCCTATAACCAACTATTCCTAACAATTTTATTTTGTATTGTTATCTCTTTAATTCTTTGTGATTAAAATGATTTGTTGTAATATTATAATTTTATTAAAAAGAATTAAAGCTTGAGTTGGAATAAAAAGACTCTTGAATGGGAATACAAAGATACGTACCACTTGAATTTTATTTTTTAAAAGTAGTTGCGCAACAATTATTTGTTAAAGCAATATATATATATATATATATATTTTGCAATTAACGCAATTTAAAGATTTCACATCTTTTTTTGAAATACATATCACTTGGGTTGAGTTAGGTAACGCAATTTTGTGAATTATTTTGTTAGGGAGAAATAAAGCTACTACCATTTAATACATATCACTTGGGTTGAGTTAGGTAACGCAATTTTGTGAATTATTTTGTTAGGTTATTATTTTACTTACCTCAACGAACTTCGTGATTCTTAATAAAAGTTTGTCGATGGATTTTCTAAGCCATAATTTGGTATCGGTTACAGTCTGATCATTGCGACTTCGACCAGTATGTAGTTTCTTCGCTACGTCACCAATTAATTCCTGTATATTTATGAAATAATTATAATGACATAATAATCTCTTATTAATGTATAAAGCAGGGAGCATTTCAAAATTAAAATATTAATTAAAGAATACAAATATCTTACAAAGATTTGATTTGTATAAAATTCTGTGTATAGAATACAGGATATTTATATAGAAAATAAATATCTTGTAAACATGTTGAAACTAGGATCAATGATCCCATTGTGTGTAAAACATAGAAGGACAACTGGTTAACAACAAACAAATTTATTTAAGATGTTTAAAAAGATCAGAGGAACTTTTCCTTTTACTTTATCATATATCTATACAGAGAAAAAAGATATGATGCATACAACCAAAGATATTTAGTTGCAAGCAATATAGCTGCATCGCCCTAGTTATCTTTGAATGATGATTATGTGTATGCTTGATATGAATTATTTACTTTGATCAACTATATCAATGCCCATACAGTATTGATTGTTACAGCAATGTTTCAAAAGCATTTCACCCTTACACATTTCATGTGAATTTTATTTGTTAACACTCTGAAACGGAAGCGGTGAAACGCGCAAAAAGAATCGCGAGAAAGATAATAGGTGTGATTTTAAACAGCACCAGCGTAAAAGGGTTAAAAAAATTAACTTTCCTGCTATTCGGCAACAATAATAAAATAGGGGGTATTCGCTATATATGCACAATGTTCCATTTTAAATGCCATAAGCAAATATCTCGAAAAATATGGAAGACATGGAAAAACGTTTTAGACAAAAGTTGTAGTATATCAAGAAGAATAAATAAGGATAAAACCATTTAAGAAAAAAGACATGTAGTTGCATATTGGAAAATACATAATTCTTTTGCAAAGCAACAATGTGTTTTCTTTACACCAATTGATTTATCTTATTATTCTGTATCTAAAAGTGTCAAGGTAGTTACAAAAAAATTAATAATTTACGAGATATTTTATACTTCATGTCAAAATGTACTCGAATAGAACATGAAATATCTCGAAAACTATTAATTTTGGTAAAACTTTACAATAACGAACCCAGCCCCGATGACCTTGACCTTGACATATGTCGTCAAGGTCACCCTCCTGAGTAACCTTTAGAAGGTTTTAGCTGTCGCTCGTTTTTTATTAAAAAGTTTGGAAGTTTTTTTATTAACAAAAAAAAAGTTTGAAAAATAGAGCAGTTATTTTGAGTAAAAATGACTAATATATATGTGGAAATAGCACATGTATGAACAAAGGAAAGTTTTGACGTAGAACTACGTCTTTCTCGGGGGGTATGGGGGTATAACTGCAACGTTTTCTTGCAACGTTTTCATGCAACGTTTTCTTTTTCTCGAAAAGTATTAAAGAAAAATATACTTTATTATATAGTTTTTGAAAGCTCTCGATGTAAGCTAAATGTTTTCGTGGTTAATTTTTCGATATGGGTTTGTTCTCGAAAAGTATTAAAGGAAAATATACTTTATTATATAGTTTTTGAAAGATTTCGATGTAAGCTAAATGTTTTTGCTCATCGTTGGTAATGTTCTCTTGATACTTCATCGATTTTTCGAAAGTTTTTTAATATTGGGAATTTTGGATAGTGCGACCTCTTTGTTGGTTGCTAAATGTTTTCGCTCTTCGTTGGTTATGTTCTATTCTAATAGACGTAGTTCTACGTGTTAATTGCGGCACAGTTGTTACTGTGCTTGTTAATTTTTTTTAAAGCAGTGAATGGAAATTTTAAAGCAGTGGAAGCCCACGCATGTACTTTGAAGGCACATTATGTGTCTAGTTTAACAATAGTACCCTACTGAAAAAAAATCACGTCACGAAATCACGTCATGAAATTACATCACAAAATCATGTAACGAAATTACGTAATTAATGACATAATTAATCACGTAACGGATTGTTCCAAATCGGTACGTGATTTTAAAAATCACGTAATTTAAAAA